GTGTACAGCTAGTTCAGCATCTAAATCAGGGGTGGGCAAACTTTTTGGCTCGAGGGCCACAATGGGTTCTTAAACTGGACTGGAGGGCCGGAACAAAAGCATGGATGGAGTGTTTGTGTGAACTAATACATGTTAACACTGCTGGTGGTGAAGGAGCAGAAGGGAGAGCAAGAGAACCCTCTACTCTTTCGGCTCCGCGGGCCGGATAGAAGAGCCTAACGGGCTGGATCCAGCCTGAGGGCCTTAGTTTGCCCACAGCTGGTCTAGTTGGTGGGCCAGTTTCATTTTTTTTAATGTATCTATCCAATTTTCCCAACACTATTTTTTGAAGAGACTGTCTTGACTCCATGGTATGTTCTTGTCTCCTTTGTCAAATATTAATGGAGCATATTGGTTCGGGTCGATTTCTGGGCTTATTGAGCTATTTTTTAATATCGATGGTTATGTTTTTAATTCCTAGTAATTATATGTAGTTCATTGTTTTTTCTTGTGGATGTTGTATATTCATACATCTCTTGAAGATATTAGTCTTATTTTATATTTTTAATGCTATTTCCTTGGCTATTCTTCTGTTTGTTGAGTTTAGTGGGTTTTTTTATTGTGTTGATTTCCCTTAAGTGTTTGGTGATTCTTAGTTGTGTACTCATCTTTTCTTTCCCCCCTATAACATGTTTTGTTGGTCGCCTCATAAAAACTATGCGTCATTATTGTAACCTTCCTCCAGTAATTTGGAGAAAGGCATGGTCCATGCTTCCTGGCACTGGGTTACACCTTGTTTCTAATGCTGCCTAGGGCAGCGGTCGCCAACCGGTGGTCCGAGGACCACTGGTGGTCGGTGAGGTCCGAAAGGTTGGCACCCGCTGGCCTAGAGGGTGTCCCAGTAAACAAGCTTCCCCTTTTTCCTGGATGTTGTCGCCTCCCTACATTGCTGACCTTTCTCTTGGCCACACTCATTTTCCTCTTCCCACTCTTAATTTGGGAGCAGATGTCTCCCGCTGTCTTTTGCTTGCTGTGGAGGTGGAGAGAGAAGGACCAGACTGCCTGGCTGTTCCTTTTTTGCTACCCCAAGCAGTTTACTCTTCCACTCAGCGAGCATTGAATAAGTCAAGATCTCTGTTTTTTGTGCTGTTCACATTCCAGTGGGGAAAGATAGACCCTAAAAAGATAAATAATTAAGTAAAGGGCTGTGATAGCAAGACTCGGGATGACTCTGTGTAGGGTGGTCAAGGAAGGACTTGTATTTGGTGGTGACATTCACAGATGGAGACCTGTGCCAGGAACCAAAAGAAGGCCAGCATGTAGGAGGGTGTTATGATATGATGTTGAAGAGGCAAAGAGAAGACAGATCGTGTGGAACTTTATAAGTGTTCTAGCCAACCACTAATTATCTTGGTCGGCCAGGACTCTCTCCCACTGCCCATATCCGCCACTCGAATTTGCAACATTTTGTAACAGTTCCTGCATATGTCACGGGCTGCCTTTTCCTCCTTTAATTATATATTGCATATGTCTACATCTGTTTTTCCTGTCGTGTCTATGAATTTGGATTGGTAAAGGAGGCTAGAACTTGTATGTGATTTACCACATTGATCCAGTTATTATTTATGAAAAGTCTTGTCTGTAATTTCAGTGGGACCAATGCAACACTTTCTACGTTATAATATTATTGAGAATATTTTCCTCTTTTTTAAAAATATATTTTTATTTCAGAGAGGAAGGGAGAGGGAGAGAAAGATAGAAACATCAATGATGAGAGAGAATCCTTGATTGGCTGCCTCCTACACGCCCCACGCTGGGGATTGAGCCCACAACCCGGACATGTGCCCTGACCGGGACTCGAACCGGGACCCTTCAGTCTGCAGGCCAATGCTCTATCCACTGAGCCAAACCAGCTAGGGCTATTTTTCCTCTTCATGAAGGTAGTATTATTGCCATTCCAAGTGGGATTTTGGAAAATAAAAACTGATTGTTTAGAATTTTATTTTCAATAACTGCTAACCTGCCCCAAGTGTTCATTCTTACCCAGGACTGCAATATACTTAGTGCCACTTAGGCTGTCTTCCTTCAGACAAATGCTAAATTCCATTCCTTGAGCTTTTAAGTACTCTTTTAACTTTCTAGATTAGTAGTGACCATTCTCATGTTTCCGAAAGTATTTTTGATTGTGTATATTAATTTTTGTGTTAATTATTGTAGGAAACTTATTTTTAAAGTGCTTATTTAGAATACAACAGTTAATACTGGCTCTTTTAGGAGAGGGATAGGAGGTCAAGAAGAGGGAAGAGTGCCGAGACCGGTTTGGCTCAGTGGATAGAGCGTCGGCTTGCGGACTGAAGGGTCCCAGGTTCGATTCCGGTCAAGGGCATGTACATGGGTTGGCCCCCCAGTTCCATTGGCGAGTTCAGTCGCAGCCCTGCCCACTGGGAGAAGTAGACTAAACTATTTAGAAGAAACACTTTTGGACCATCGTTGTACCATAAGATGTTCACTGAAACAGTATTCAGATAGAAGAAGGTTGAAATCACCTAAATGACCATCACTAGAAACTAGTTAACTTTTTAAAACTCTCAATAAAATATATTTAAAAAAATAAAATAAAATAAAGAAGAGGGAAGAGTGATTTTATTGCCAGCTGTGCGTGGCCTGATGTTAACAGTTTTTAGAGCATGAATTTGAAATAATTTTTTGAGATCCATTGTAAATTTCTGTGTGCTTACATAAAGTAAGAAATTTGATTTGGTAATATTTTCCTGTAAATCTACATGTCTAGATAACAAGCATAAATAAAAATGTTCAGTTTAAAAATATAGGGTTTCGCACAGCCAGCGTGGCTCAGTGGTTGAGCATCAACCTATGAACCAGGAGGTCACAGTTAAGTTTCCTGGTCAGGGCACATGCCCAAGTTGTGGGCTTGATCCCCAGTAGGGGACATGCAGGAGGCAGCCAATTGATGGTTTTCTCTCATTATTGACGTTTCTGTCGCTCTCTCTCCCTCTCCCTTCCTCTCTGAAATCAATTTAAAAAACATTTTTAAAAAACTTAAAAAGAAGAAAAAGAGTATAGGGTTTCAGTAACCATTTTTAGTAAATTAGTGCATATGAAGGAAATAATTTTAATTTTTCAAAGTTGCTATAAGGGAAAATATTCTAGGATGGAAGATTCATATTCTGTTCTTGTCTAAATATATATTTTTTATTTACTGATTTTAGACAGAAAAAGGGAGAGGGGGTGGGAGAAGGAGAGACAGCCATTTGTTCCACTTATTTATGCACTCATTGGTTGATTTTTATATATGCCATGACCTGGCATTGAACCCACAGCCTTGGTTGGATGGGGACGACACTCTAACCAACTGAGCTCTGCCAGGGCCTGATGTCTAAATAATATTTTTAAAGAAAGGGGAAGGCTTCATTCTATAACTTGAATACTTCAGGTTCTGTCTGAAATGGTACTATTAATGCAAGTATACATGGCATTCTATTTTTGATGACCGATTAGTCCATACAAGAAACTGCAATGGTATAACCAACTGCTACACCTTATCTAAATTATTACCATTTTGATTTTTGTCTTTTTGTCTCCATTAGGAGATGTCCCCAGATGCCTCACTTCCAGGGGATCCAGAGGCCCATCCTGCTGCTGTGCCAAGCGGTGGAGCCACTCGTCTGCACACAGGAGGTGGATATTTTGGCCTAAGCTTTACTTGTCCTAGTCTCAAAAATCCTATTAGCAAGAAATCCTGGACTCGCAAATTAAAAAGCTGGGCATACAGGCTACGGCAGTCAACCAGCTTTTTCAAGAGATCAAAAGTCCGTCAAGGTAGTGTGCTTACAGTCAGGGACCTAGACTAGGTAACATCACTTTTCATTTACTTCTGTTTGGTTTTTGGTTTTTTTCTTCATACACAAATGTTGCCACTTTTTCCACGTAGCCCATGTATGTGACACATCCCATTAATGTCATTGCCACTTTATTTTTCCTTCTGTGAGAAATTTGATTTTGTAGTTTTTCATTTCATATAGATACTAAGTCGGGATAAATCTTGCAATGTCTGGTTGAGAGTTAGGGTAACACTTTTTAATTGTCTAGCCGGAGTTAAGCTTTTTCTGCTTTTCTTCATTTTTTGGTAATGTAAACAAATTTAGTCTTACCCAATTTTCTCTTTTCTCTTTACAATTTGGCGAAACTTACAGTGGAAACAGATGATGTGATATCCACAGTTGCTCCTGATCCCATTCCTCTGGCAGTAGAGTCCACAGCTAATAGGCCTTTGAGTAGATGCAAATCGATGAGTGGATCCTTTCAGCGGGGACGGTTCCAGGTTTGTGCTAATCCTTGTCTACAGTGCATTATAACAGGCAACAGCATTGAAGACAGTGTAGATCAA